TTTCAGCCAGAGAACTCCTGTGCACCCTCCCTGGCCCACTTCCAAGCTCACCACCTCCATGAAGCCCTCTCAGTTCCCCCAAGCCTTTCCTAAAACCCCAACCTTCTGCTCGGTGGCCTACCTCTCTCAGGCTGCATTCACCCTGCTCACCTCTGTCCCACCAGCCAGGCAGCCCCCGGGGCATGAAAAGCCTCAATAAAGGCTGGATAAATGAGTAAGGGTCCTGAATGGCACTGGGAGAGCCACCTTTCCGCACACAAGACTGTCCCGGGCTCCTGCTGGCTCCCAAGTCCACATTGGCTCAGGTGGAACGACACTGCCCCTCCTTCTCTGACGAGCATTTAGCTGGGGCCCTAACTTGGTTCGGCTCCCTCTCCCTCCTGCCTCCCTGTGCGTCTCTGGGCCTGAAGGGTGGGACGCACGCTCAGCCTCGAGGACTGGACGGCCAGAGCCGCACCTCCTGTGCCGTGGCTCCCAGCCACGGAAGCCACATTGGGCTTTAGCAGGTTTTTTTCCAGTTGTAAGAATTGCTGCCCCGCCCCCACCTTCCTGAACATTCCTCTGTGGCAGCCCAGTGCGGGGGCCGGTAAGGAAAAGCCTGTCCCGACCTCCCGGAGCTCCCCAGTGTAGGTGGACGGCCACAGATGTAGACGCCAAGGGTCCCGGGTCTTGAGCAGGGAGCATACCCAGCCTCAGGCTGGAAAGTGTGCCCTGGGTTGGGGAGGAGGCAGTCCACGCCTCCCGAGTCCACCGTGGAGAGCCATCCCACCCTGCCTGCCCCTGCTCAGACGGGGCCCCTCACCTCTGAAGCTCCCTTCCCAGGTCTCCCTGGGACGTGGAGGCCACTGTTTCTCATCTCGCTCCAGCTGCCTGAGCCCAGGACTTGCCAGCAGAGGGCAAGGACGGCGCTCTGGGTGGTGTGGGGGCTGGTGTCCACTGACACGGAGGTGAAGACGGGGTGCGGGGGGCCTGGAGGCCCTCTGGGCCCCCGCGGGGAGAGGGCATGGGAAGCGCACGCTGCCCTGTGTGGGTGCCCACGAGATATGCTTCCGCACCAAAATACAGAACAAGTTCTCTAAGGCAAGTTTGCGGAGAACGGTCAATTTTACATAAATCCGTGTGCCTAGAAGTGCCATGCGGCCTGACGTGGCAGTGGTGAGCACAGTGCCCTTCCCGGGTCCTGGCCAGCTCCGAGCACTCGTGGCGGCCACAGTGGCCAGCGGCCACCGCAGCACCCGCCCTTCAGGCCCGAAGCGCAGCCCCGCCTGCAGCAGCTTGGTCCCAGCAGCTGCCGCTGGCTCTGCGGGAGAAGCCGAGGTCCGGGGCCGCGCAGGGCCTCGGGGCTGCTCTGTGTGGCGGGGACCACACTGCCAAGCTCAGCAAGGGTCAGGGAGGCGTGGCAGGTCCCCGAGCTGAGGGTCCCGCGTCTTTCTGTCCCTCCGTTCACCTGCGGCTTTTGCAGTTTCTTCTAACGTAGCACTTAAATTTCTCTAACAGGTTTGTTCATGACTCTTGAGTTCTCTCCTAAGTGGTTGCTCTCAGGCCAATCAGAATGTTCTTTGGATGTGGACGTGTTCACTTCCTGCCGGAGACCCTTCCAGTGTGGTTGTGACACAGGGCACATCTACAAACATGATGAACCCAAGATTGTCACTTTATGGAATGACAGGCTTTTTCAAGAAGCTGCCAGGGGCACCTGGGTGGCCAGCCAGTTAAGCGTTGGCTTTTAGCTTCAGCTCAGGGTCATGGGATCAAGCCCCACGTCTGGCTCTGTGCTGGGCAGAGTCTGCTTGAGATGCTCTCTCCCTCGGCCCCTCCCGCTCATGCTCTCTCTAAAATACATAAATCTTAAAAAAATAAAAATAAAAATAAAGCAGCAGCAGCAGGAGCTGCCAGAGGAAAGGGCAGCAGGGGGTTGGTGCCCGTAACCCCAAAGGTGTCCAACGTCAAGTGGACCCTGTCTCCCCTGAGGACAGAACTGCCTTTAGCAGGGCTTAGTTCTGAGTGGATCTGATTTACTGTCTTGAGTCACTTGCTTTGAGCCCCAAGAACTTCCTTTACCATTTCTTGGAAGGCGGGCCCACCAGCAGCAAATTCTGTTTTTGTGCATCTACAAACATCGTCCACTCACTTTATTCTGAGAGCGCGCTTTGGCAGACGCGGGAGTCTTGGCCGTGAGTTTCCTGAGCACTCGGGCCACACCGTCCCCGACTGAGCTCAGCCGCCAGCCCCGCTGGGTGTCCTCGGGACGGGGACAGCTTTCCCTGTGTTCCCGACTCTGTGGATCACACCGTTGGTCCCACTGGAGCTCACTGGGCCTGATTTGTAGATGAACGTGGGGATTTTTCGGGCACCGTGTATTTTTTGTTCCCTTCTTCCCCCTGGGGCTCTGGTGGCACATGGGCGTCCCTGCCCTGCGTGGTCACCTAGGGCTCCGGGTCAGTCGAGGTCACAGGTTCTTTCGCCTGCCAGCTTACAGCGGCTGCTGAGCCCCTTGGGAACTCTCCACTTCGGTTCTCATACTCTTCGGCTCCGGAACCCCCACTCGGTTCTTCTAGGTGTGATCGTTCTCATCTTCCCCTTGATGTTATGTGACGTGCCATCACCAGTCTCTCCCTTCACCCCACGCCCCCCCAACCATGTGCAGAAGGGCCAAGTTCGAGTATCTTCCTGTTAAGTCCAGCGCCCGCCGGCTCTGCAGCCTACTACTTTTCTCCTGGAGTCTGAGCCATACCTGTTTGCACGTTCGGGTGGGAAACGGGTCACTCCGGGGAGTGCACTGCCGCAGTTCTGGGCCCTGGCCACCCCGCCGGGTTGCATTACTGTCCCTCACTTTGTTTGCTGGTGTGGCACTGGGCTTCTCCCTGCCCCCGCAGCCCTTGCTCCGGCCTCTGCTGCCTCCAGGGGTGCAGCCTTGGGCTGGCCCACAGTCATCCTGGGAGGACAGCGGCTCCGGCAAAGCTGGACCGTCCTCCCGGCCCACACCAGCTCCTCGGCGCCGCTCCTTGTTGGCAGACTGCCCTGGGTTTTCCAGTCACGCCCTGGGCATAAAGGTTTCAGAGCCTAATCCAAGTAAATTTGGCTCCTTTGGAAGAACAGCTCCTAGGATTAGTGAGAGTCTTCCTGACCCACAGCCAGCCTACAGCTCAGCCCGTCACCAGTCAATCCACTGCTCCTCCCACATGCTGTTCTCTACAAGCTCCCTCTTTTGCGAGCACCCCTGAACCTCATGCAAGCGAAGTCAGTCCTTTTGTGGTGGGAAGGGGACTGGGTCACAGCCTGCCTCTCCGGACAAGGCTGTTCGTCTCTGACAGCTCTGGGGGTGGAGGATGGCAGTCCCAGCTCTCCGGGGCTGGTCTCCGCGTGGAGCCCCCACCCAAGCCGAGACCACCACGGGCTGCCTGCGTCCATCCTCCACACGCCGGGCCCTCCCGGTGCATCTGCCCGCTGTGTCCTTGCAGAGAGGGGCTGAGGCCAGAACGCGGCTGCTGGAGAGGGCGTGGCAGAGGGGGGAGTCAGGAGACCCGGCCCGGCTTTCCCAGATGGCTCCCTGGTGCGCACCTTCCCTTTTCCAGCCACACTGCCCAGATGCCCCAGTGGCCGGTGGGGCCTGTGGGACCGTGACCCGGCTCAAAGGACTGGAGCAGAAGTGACGCGTGTCGGCAGAGGGGCAGCTCAGAGGAAGTGTGCTTCCTGTGGCTGAGAGGTGGAAGCAGCAGACACCAGGGTGGGACCTGGAACGGTCTTGAAACACACGCGGGAGCCACAGGTCCCAAGCGGCAGAGGAGCCTGGCTCCACGTGCGGAGCTGCCTCACCACCCTGGGTCACCCTCCTGCACTTGCCGGCGGGACCCGAGGCAGGCAGGAAGCTGTCTGTGCTCTCCCGCCCTTAGGGACCCACTGACACCTCGAGCCACCTTCCGCCCCTCACCTATGTCCCAGTCTCCCCAGCAGCTTCCTGCCCTGTCGGTAAGCCCTCGCCCTCCGGAGGCAGGACAGGGGCCTTGTCTGATCACCCTCCGGCCTTGGGCCAAGCACAATGGCCAGTACAGAGCCAGCAGTGAACACATGCCACACTCTATGCTCAATGATGGATGAAGCGTGAGCACATCTGCACACCGAGAAAGGCCGCTGAAGCTGGCACCTGCGCTTCCCACAGCAGCTCAGGCTGGCCCTTGAGGGCAGCAGTGGCGGGTACCGTTTGCCCCAAATTCTGCTTCCCGCGCACCCCGGGCTCCCGGGGAAGCACGCAGTCTGCGTGGCCGCCTACCCCTGCCTCTGCCCCCCTTCCTCCAGGGCCATCCAATCCGACTCCAAGGGTCCTGAGCTGCCTCCAAAGGCTCTGCCTTCTGGCCCAGGAAAGACTAGCCAGGAGGGGTGCAAGCATGGCCCAACGGGATGGAGAGGCCTCCCAGACGCCGCACCCGTGGACCCTACCGCTGGGACTCTGAGCCTCATGCTCGTGGGGGACGCAGAGCCCAGGCCTCCGGAAGGTGCCTCCGCGATGGTCAGAGAGGAAAGAAGGGGGCACTGGTCGCACTGGCTCCGATTTCACATCCAGTCTAGTCGGGCTCCACCCAGAACTGCTTGGGAAGGATTCTGAGGCAGAAGCACTCTGACCCCTGAGCCTGAGAGGCCGGGCAGGAAGTGCTGAGCGGAGCAGCTGGGAGGGGCTCCCAGAGGGCAGGGTGGGCGGCGGGATGGGGTGGAGGCACTCACCAGCCGCCGGGCCGCACAGCTCCCCAGACAGCCTCGCTGGGCCCTGGGCCTCTGCCACCACCCACATGTGGCTCCGTGGCTGGCTGCGGCACCTGGCTCCGCCCGAGCCAGCAGCAGAGGCCACATGCAGAGAAGCGTGCTGCCCATCAGAGAGGGAGGCAGGGGAGGCCAGAGCCTGCTCTGCCCCAGAACCTCCCGAGCAGCAAGAGGGTTCGAGCTGGTGCCGTGCTCTGTGGCTGCTTCTGAAAGGTGAGCTCTGAGGACAGACACCCCTCAGGCTGTCCGATGACAAGCATTTACTGACCGGCCACAGAACAGCCAGGACAGGGGCAGGTCACGAATCCATGGCCTGGGGTCTACAGTCTGATGGGACAAAGCCTCCACAGGGGACCCAGGAGCCCCACGTGTCCTGCCCCTCCCCTGGCTGCACCCAGCCAGTGAAGTCCCACTGTTCGAGAAGCACGGGGGAGCTCCTCAGCATCCGGCCGCCTCTCCGGGCCGCCACCACCTACACCGACATGAGGACAGGCGCTCCAGGGACCCCTGACACCTCACGTCCCGTGACACCGCAAGCAGCTGCAATTCAACACCACAGGGCCACATGAGTCCGAACTGGCAGCCAACCACACGGATGCACAGATGTCACCCTGGGCACAGGAAGAAAAGGGCGCAACGGCAGCACAGCCCTGAGGCAATTTGGCCTGAAGGCTCTACAACGACGCTCTGAAAAATGGCCTTGCTCGGTTCACAACCTTCAGCCCTGCATTTGAAGCAGGAAGCACGCACGTCCACAGGGTGACACTGTGGCAGCAACAACCGTCGCCTTATGCTTGGGAAGATGCACACACAGCAGAGGAGTGGACAGTGAACCAAACGTCGCGGGGGCGGGGGGCGGCCTGAGAACCACGAGCTGGCCGAACGGCCAGGCCGGAATGCCAGGGCGCAGAGGTGAAAGACAGAAGGTCACAGCCCCCCATATGCGCGCAAGGAGGGTGTGCCGCTGTCCCCGGGGGCCAGTCCAGGCTACGGGCAGCAGGGAGCCACAATCTTCCCACAACCAAGCCGTGCAGCCGGCTCTTCCCCGCACGGGGTACTGAGGCATGAACAGCCAACGCCGAAGTTCAAACACAGCTGGAAATCCAAACAGCTCATCTTACGCAGGGTCACGAGTGCACGCCTAAGACACATTTCTGAACGCCTCAGCAAATTCAGTGACATGCAGGCGATCAGCACGAACTCCTGCACAACGGGGGCTCGGACAACGGAGTAGATTCGGCACCAGGACGCTGGACATGCCCACAGTGCGCCAGGGCCCCCTCGGGGCAACGGGAGGCCTGGGCAGACAGTCCTGCTTGCGTTAGGGGAAGCGACTCTGCCGTGCCAACCCGATGTGCGGCCCCCACGCCCTGGGGTCCCAGCCCAAGGGGTGAGACCTCCTGGCAACACGGAGGAACTTGCAGGAGGCTGGCGCAGCTAAATGAGTTCATGGCTGAAGTGACGACCCGCCACCTATAAAGCCACAGACAGGAGCGCCCACCTGACTCAGGGACGGCGCCACACCACAGACCACGCCCCAAGGGGAAGGCAGGTGGGCCCAGGGAAACACTAGCCCTGGCAAGTGGCTGCAGGTACTGCCATCAGTTGGCCCAAGGGCCGGCTTTGCTCCTCCTGGATGGACAGACATCTCCACCCACACACACAGCAGGGCTCAGCTGGCAAACACGAGGCCAGAATCTGCCTGGCACGGTCCTGGCTTCTGGCCACGGGACGCTCCGCTCGGCTTCGGGTGCACGGGACCCTTCCGGAGCGGCTGCTCACACTGACGTGCCAGGACGGAAAACATGGTAAGCCCGCGATGAACCAGACGCGCGGGGATGGGCCATCCCGAGCGGCCGAGAGCCCACACCAGGCATCCCGACCTCCCGGACAAGCTCCGGCCCGCAGGTGAGGGATGCGCCGACGTCAGTGCTCGCCCGCCGTGGAGGAGCAGGGCAGAGGGGGGGCCTCCTGGGGGGCCTCGAGTTTGACCATGGCCCTGAGGGCCACACGCCGCCGCTTCACCTGCCTCTGCCTGGCAAACACCGAGCGCAGCGCACGCAGCTGCCCCACCTCCTGCGCCGTGAAGCAGGACTGTCCCTCAGCGAAGCGCACCACGGCGTCAAAGGACAAGGCCGCCTGCTCCCAGGCCGCCTCGTCACCGTCCTTCTCGGCCTGCTCCGGGCTCCCGGCAGCCGGGGCCAGGCCCTCTCCAGCCACACGACCCAGCCCGCCCTGCTCTGCAGCCGTGCCCCGGGGAAGCCGGCTGCCAGGGCGGGCCGGGGCCTCTCTTCCCAGCTCCAGGATGTGTGCAAAAGTCTGATCGTGAGGCTTCGCTCGGAGGCGCTCCGGCTCCTCCTCCGAAGACGAGCCCTCGGCGAACGTGACCGCGGGCCACAGCTTCCTCCAGGCCCGGCTGAAGACGTCACGGGGCACGGCACTCCAGGCGCAGGCCACGTTGAAGACAGCGTCGTTCATGCTGTAGCGGGGGTGGCAGGCCTGCAGTGGGACGGGGGGGTTGATGAAGTGCCTCATGAAATCTCTCCGAATGCCCTGGTCCATGGGCTGAATCAACGAGGTGACGGTGGCGGGCAGGAAGACGGTGAAGATGTTACCGGAGGCCAGCTCGGACTCCCGCGGGCGGGCGCGGGCGTTGTCCAGCAGCAGAATGGCTTTGCTGTCCTCGGGCAGACCCGCTGCCCGGAAGTGCTCCACCACCGACGGAACGAAGATATGATGGAACCAGTCCGAAAAAATCTCCTTGTCCACCCACGCGTTACCTTGGGCTTTGTAGGCAACAGGCAGGTGCTGAATGCCCCCAAAGGCCCGGGGGCCGCCGCCTTTCCCAATCACCAAGGGCTTGATCTTGTGGGAGCCGGTGGCATTGGCACACATGAGGACAGTCAGCCTATCCTTGCTCTGCTTGATGCCGGGCACTGTCCCACCTTCCAGGCTGGGATTGGGCAGGCACCGCCAGAAAAGGCCGGTCTCATCGGCGTTGTAAACCTGCTCAGGGGACAGGCCGTGCTCGGCCGTGAGGCTCCGGAAAAAGCCACAGAACTGCTCGGCTGCTCGGTGGTCGGCCACTTGTTTCTCGCTGGACGCGTCCAGCTTCTTAATGCCGTGCCTGGCCTTAAAACGCCAGAGCCACCCGCCAGAAAACACGCAGGGCTCCGTTAACTGCATCTGTTCATAGAAGTCCTTGGCCTTCTCAATGAGCATGGGGCCTGAGACGGGCACGCCCTCGGCCCGCTTCCCCAGGAACCACTGGTACAGGACCCGGTCCAGGTGCTCGAGCTTGGGCGTGTGCAGGGTGCGACGCTGCTCCAGGGCCTTGTTGGAGTCTGAGTTGGCAAAGAAGCGCAGCAGCTGCGCCTTGTGGGCCTTGATGTCGTACAGGGTGGACATGCCCACGTTGTACTCCTGCATCAGCACCTTCCTGCTCTCCCCCTTTTCCAGGCGCGTGCAGATGTCAATCTTCTCTTTCAGGGTCAGCACCACCCTCTTGCGCTTCTCCCCTGGGCTCCGCCCAGCGGCCTGCTTGGAGGCCATGGGGGGCAGTGGCTTGTCCCCAGGGGCTGGGGAGGACACACGTGGGAGGGGGTCCTGGCGGACTCCTTGCCTCTCCTCCCCCTGTGCTCTGCTCCCTCACCGGCCTGTCCCGTTCCACTGATCCTGGGCCACCACGAGCCACAGTTCCTCCTCTGATCCCCCCTCCAGTGACAGCGATGCTGCCGCCTCCCTGCCTCTCTGCAGGAGAGACGACTCGTGTCACACTGTCCCTGGGCGTGTCCACACCGTTGGAACTCCTGGCCTTCTCTGAGGGGGACGGTGGCCGCTCCTCCCTTCAAATGTGGACCAGAGCGTCGAGGGGTCCCGGGAGCTGGCTTCTGGCTACGCGAGGCTGTAACATCTCCGCAGGATGCCTCTCCGGGCTCACGGCACTGTCTGACGCCGTGCTTTAGGAACTGGAAGGCAGAACAGGGGAAGAAAGAACATTACAGACCGCGGGCCTGGGCGACCTGCAGGCATGCACTTTGGACTTCAGGTGCACAGGGAAGCTGCAGCAGAAGCCACAGTGCTGTAGGGGCAACCGACACGGGAGCTGGCCCGAGCACGCAGCGTCCGGGAGGCTGCCCAGCTGGGCACACGGGTTCTTTCCAGCGACCTCTCGGTCACCACAGCTCCTTCAGGCTGGACAACTCCATCCTCTCCTGACCCTCCCTGCGGCGCTGAGCAGACTTGCAGGGCTGAGACTAGAGGTAGCCTTGCTGGATCCTTCGGGAATCACATCCCCACCGCACTTTGCCTGCTATGACACCAACATCCTCCAGCCTGTTGCCGGCAGTGACCGGCCCTGCTGGTCTACTCAGTGCAGTGTTTGCTGGGACAGTCCCATCTCCTCTCTCACAGCCCATGTCCCCTCAGTTCCTTCATGACTTGGCCCCTCTCACCCAGGAGAGATGGCAGATCGCCAGGGAGGCTACAGCCAGCTCACCGCCAGTCATCCCGTCCTGCAATGGAAGGCATGCAGTCCTCACAGGTGGGCTTCGAGCAACTCCCCACTGCCTCCCACCCAAACCCTTACTTTGGCTGTGTCTTCCCACCTTGTGCAGATGCTGAGGCCACAGGACGACTCGTGTGTGGAGCATAAAAATGTAGCTCTTTGAGAACACAACTCAAGAGAAATGATGTTTATTCAAATGTAGCAAGAACCCCGAAGACTAACTCTAGGCCCATCACCAGCCAGCTCTGGGCACATCCCTTCCCCCTTCTGGATCAGCCTCCTGGTCTGCCAGGTGAGCACGCTGCTCCTTCAGGGATCTATCTTCATCCTGCTTCCAGGGCAGCAATGACAGTGTACGGCTTGACCCTCCCGGCAGCAGAGGGAAGTAAAGGCCACCATGAGAGACTAAGTCCAAGCACAGCAGAGGGCAGGAGGGGGAACCGCCCAGAAAGGCCTCCTGCAGGCTCCGCCCCTGAAACGGAGGATTCTAGATGTTTCCTCTTCCTGACATGCGGGTGTATGCAAGATGTGTGCAGGGTGACATTCAGTAGTTGAAAACACTGTGGTCCCGCCTGCGAGACAAAACTCCTTTTAAAACTGAAATTCAGATAACCGGATATTCTGGAACAATTTCTTAAACCAAAAGGTCACCTCGTACAGCAAGAGAATTAAGGCGGGTTCCAGCCTTGTGAGTTTAACATAAGCACTGAGACTCAGGCCACACGAACACGGGTGTACACACCTCATCCTCCTGTGCGGGGGGTACAGACAAAA